GGGCGGTGAGGGCAGAGATTAGGGACGGCAAATCGGCCGCGGGAGGGAGGGATAACGAGGTAGAGGGGGCCGGGACTTCGGGAGGAGGAGGTAACACTGGAGGAGAGGTGGTAACAGGGGGCTGGGTTAGGGCGGTGAGGGCAGAGATTAGGGACGGCAAATCGGCCGCGGGAGGGAGGGATAACGAGGTAGAGGGGGCCGGGACTTCGGGAGGAGGAGGTAACACTGGAGGAGAGGTGGTAACAGGGGGCTGGGTTAGGGCGGTGAGGGCAGAGATTAGGGACGGCAAATCGGCCGCGGGAGGGAGGGATAACGAGGTAGAGGGGGCCGGGACTTCGGGAGGAGGAGGTAACACTGGAGGAGAGGTGGTAACAGGGGGCTGGGTTAGGGCGGTGAGGGCAGAGATTAGGGACGGCAAACCGGCCGCGGGAGGGAGGGATCCTGGGTCAGCAGGGAGACAAAGATTCGGAGGAATAGGGCAGGTGGGAGGGGCACGGGGTAAGGGAGTTGGATGTGTGATGGACGGAGAGGGTGAAGGAACGGAGGCTAGCAAGGAAGGGGTACTCAGGGTTGAGAGAGAAGCGGAGGGGGGTGGTGGGACTTCAATGGGTGAGGTGAGGGAAGCCATGGTAAGGTCCAGAGTGGGGACGGTCACTTGGGGAGGCAGCGAAGGACATGAAAGCGGAGGGGTTTCGACAGGCATGTCAGGAGGATGGTTAACGAAGGGGGTTGGATCATAGGAGGGCTGAGACATGGGAGCAGGAGGGAATGAATGAAGTGGCACTGGGTAATAGTAGGAACCATCTGCACCGAGCACGGGGCACAGGGGAGTGGGAGCTGAAGACAAACCCCCAGTAGGTGGGGTCTGCGTCGTGACGGGGGAAACAGGGCGGGAATTAAGTGTTGCGCTCCGGGCGCCATCATAGGGCGGTGGTCGTGAAACAATAGGAACAACATCATCATTGTGAACACTCCTGTGATAAACATACACAAGTTGCCCCTCAACTTCCAGTTCTTCCTCGACCCATCCTTCTCTTTTCAACCCTCTAGCTACTCGGTACCAAGCCTCTGCAACTTTCGTGAGTCCATTATCCAACAACAACCCTTCCTTGTCTATAAGTAACTTCCTCCAAAACTCTGGTTGCAATCTCCCGCTGGGCAACATCTTGAAATCACACACCTTAGCAATCTTTTTAAGTTTTAGCATTGCATCTTCACCTGCCCTTTCTTTCACAATGTCACAAGCTAGCAAGCCCTTAGCAGGTCTAGCGTGTTCCTGTCCCATATTTGAGTAACCAAAGCGTGCCACACGTGGAAGACAAAGAAGTATAGTAAGTGTAGGGGAAAAAAGAATGTCTACAGTGCTCGACTGCCACGAGAACTTGAGCCCCGTGCGTCTTCCCCAAACGTAGACTAGTCACGGAGATCCGCCCACCCGGGGTGGTGGTCACGGACGGGAGCGAATGAGCGTGGGTGACTAACACAGCTCTGGGCAACAGGCACAGGAGAGATAAAGAACAAAGGAGAAAATGAACGTGGCTGCGCTAATGAGAAGACATTTGCAAAAATCACAAACATACAAATGAGCATAAACTCCGGAATCTAGAACTAACCACACAATACACACACACACACCAAGGGTACCCACACTGTAACAACAATTAAACAGAAACCACAGAATGATAGAGAGCAAAATGGCCATGTACATGTTAACACCACCGGTGTCAGATATTCAGAATATAACGATCTCCAGCCTTCACCCACCAGGCTGGTCCCGGCAAAACACTGGTACCAACGGAAATACTACAATAATCAGACAAAAATCTCAGCCCCACCGGCTGTAATGCATTCCCTGCCCGCTAGGCAGTCAAGCTAACATAAAAACCCAGCCCCACCGGCTGTAATGCGTTCCCTGCCCGCTAGGCAGTCAAGCAAACATAAAAACCCAGCCCCACCGGCTGTAATGCGTTCCCTGCCCGCTAGGCAGTCAAGCAAACATAAACCGCGTTCCCTGCCCGCTAGGCAGTCAAGCAGACATAAATTGCGTTCCCTGCCCGCTAGGCAGTCAAGCAAACATATAAAATGCGTTCCCTGCCCGCTAGGCAGTCAAGCAAACATAAACCGCGTTCCCTGCCCGCTAGGCAGTCAAGCAGACATAAATTGCGTTCCCTGCCCGCCAGGCAGTCAAGCAAACATATAAAATGCGTTCCCTGCCCGCTAGGCAGTCAAGCAAACATATAAAATGCGTTCCCTGCCCGCTAGGCAGTCAAGCAAACATATAAAATGCGTTCCCTGCCCGCTAGGCAGTCAAGCAAACATAAAAATGCGTTTCCTGCCCGCTAGGCAGTCAAGCAAACATATAAAATGCGTTCCCTGCCCGCTAGGCAGTCAAGCAAACATAAAACTGCGTTCCCTGCCCGCTAGGCAGTCAAGCAAACATATCTTAAAGGTATAATAAACACACACACATAAATGAATACAGGAGGCAGATAGACAATCGACAGGTTCACTTAAAAAGGGCGCACCGGATGAGTTAGTTACCTGTCTCTAGTAGCCTTCTGGAAGCCGGAAGTGGACTCGGAGACAGACCGGCACAAAACAGGAGAATAACACAGGCAACGGCTGTATTATGGAGGTGATCAGGCTCCGCTTGTCCCACTTTCCGGAGGTCCGCTCCGGTCCGTTGGTTCCGGCTCTCCGAACCGGCTCTCCGGTGGGCCCCACGTTGGGCGCCAATTGAAGTGGAAAAATCAATTAAGGTATTGATTATTTCTTGTGTATCTGCCCCTGGCCAAATCAATGAAACTATGCGTGCACGCTCCCTGAAGTAATTCACACCAGACACAGGTTCTAGGTTGTTGAATAACTTGAGGAAAGTTTATTCAGAGGGGACGGCAAGTCCCTTTTAAAGCAAAATTACATCATATGCATTGTCAGAGATAACATGGAATAATACATCAATAATTGGTTAGGTGTTAAGTGGTTGCTCTAATGCTCTGCCTACTGCAGGTGATGTCACCGGGACCATGAGGGTCTCCCACGGTTTTCCGGCGCCATCTTGTTACACGAGGTAGTTAGTCGATGTTTAAAAGGGAGGGAGGGGAAGGAGGGGTTAGAAGCTTCTAGCAGCCATCTTGATTGAAATATGTGTACTTAGCTTTATATGTGAGATATATATATATATTGTAAAATGAGTAAATAGACATTTTCCTTTAACCAGGAAATATGCGTAGACCTTATTTCCACAACAACATGGAGTATAAATTGAGGGATTTTTGCATCTTTCTCAACATTTCACATAAGCAAAGCTAATGGCTGTGCCATCAACTTTTGTTAAAGCTTGTCAGGCATCACAAATGAATTGTGTGTTATAGTTTGCAAAACATTTTGACTTTTATCTATACACATGTATATAATAATTATATACATATATATATATATAATCTCCACAGTCATGATTAAAGGCCCACACCAGGCACCGTAGAGATTTCATCTAAATTAAGTTAAGATGTCTGGAGGTCCTGGGTGCCATCTGACCTTTTACAAGTGGTTTAACCCCAAAGTGCTCCTAATGGCTTCCTTTCATCTGTCCTGTCAGACCCATGCTCCCGACCCATCTTCTACGTGGAAGCCATTCACTGGGGTGCCAGTAATACGTTGAGAGAATCCGCTGACGCGCTCAGACTATCAATGGCTTCCCGTTGAGAAAATGCTTTAGAAGAGTACGCACATTATATCATATGAACTCTCTTTCTTGAATTTCTGTACCGCTGTCTCTCTGGAATGAACCCCACCTGATCTGAATGTAGGAGAGTTCTAAGCAAAAAGCTGTGTTGGTCAGCCAGAACTTTAGTCACAGTTCTTACATCGAAGTTAGAGATATCGGGTCTGTAGTTTCCAAGAAGTGCAATGTCTCTGCCTGCATTGAGAAATTTAACATTTTTTGCTGAACCCATCTCCTTATAGGTTGTGGGACCAAAACTTCTTCAAAGTACACATGACTAGTAATAGTGTACTCTGGGCCATGGTAATTTACATTTGTAAAATATTTAGAATAGGTGGCATTTATTAGATCAGGAATAGTAACTAAATTGCCTTCACTATCCTTTACTGCCATAATTGACTGCAGCCTCAGTCTCAGCCCTCTGGCATGTAACATATCCATTTTATTGGGTGTTTTCATGCCTTTTTGTGGCTACATCAACAGTCAAAATGTAGGATTTAGAATCTGACTCTTAGTTCCCTTAGGCAACATTTGGCACTCTAGATGTTGTGTACTACATCTACCCTGATGCTTTCCCAGCATATGGGAGATGCAGTCTGGACTGTTGGTGGTTGTCTAGTCCTTCATTAGTGTTTGATGAGTGGAACTGGTATTATGTTTGAGATAAAGGTATATTGGTTATTGAGTTTTTAATAAAAATGCCCATTCACAACTGCTTTCTGAGCTGACCAAATGGTAGATAGCTTCATTAAAGAAACACTCCAGTCACCAAACCCACTGCAGACCGGTGTAGGGATTATGACGCCAGGAGTGCTCTGCAAACTGTTTGATAACTTACCTGTTGGACACCAGGTGTGTGCCTCCACCTCCCTGCTGCTGGAAAGCTTTGCACTTATACCTAGCAGTGCAAGGAGGCACTCATTAGCTAAGAGCCTTCAAGGAGACAATATCAGGCACCCAACAGATCCCAGATAGGTTGTCAAACTCTTTGCAAACAGTTTGCTTACTCTGGCAAACACATTTAAGGCATTATAACTACTACAAAAGGAGGACTACACTAAAAAAAGCAAAATCCATCTTCTTTCTTAAGCTAGCATTGTGCACAAATTCAAAATTACATTTTTACGCATTGATTCTCATACTAGGAGAACCCTCGTGCTGGTAAACCGTTTTAATGTGAAGATGACGACGGTTTCTGATGTTGGTGGTAATGGTGGTAGTGAAGCTTTATTCGTGGCCTACTCATATGCAATTTTTGTTGTTTTGCAGTGAGAAAATGGTCTCTTCTGATGACCTTTTGGAATGGCTGAGACCATTCTGTGGAGACGACTCTTTGCCAGTGAAACCTAGAATTGATGTGTTGCAAATTATGGAACAAGCATTTAATCTCAATGATGAAGACAGCAAGTTGCTTGTATTTTTCCGAACTCAGGCTGTTCTTAAAGCCTCTTGGCCAGAAAAAAAGGTATGTGTAACTTAACAACTTTAAAATATTGTTTGTGTGTTTAAGAAAAAACTGAAACATATGTGGAAAGTGGAGTCACCTTTTCTAAATATCAGTAACCCATGTTATGTGAAGATAAGAGGGAGAGCACCTTTTTGTAAAATAAAAACGGTGTTACTCACCTATTGTTACTTGTTTTGAAAATGTCTATATAACAGTTGGTTGACATTATAAAAATTTAGATGATTCTTCAACGAAAATAAACAATTTCTTAGTAACATATTTCCCAAAATCCACTAGGTTTAAAATGATTAAATTTACTCAAAACATTTTAAACTATAAATAAACTATGTAAACAAATGTATTGCTATGCGACTCCGCCGACCCCTTCCTCTTCTCCCTTTAATCATATTAGTATAGCTACCTATTACTTAAGGTGAGACATTCTTTTTTTTACAGGTTCACCCACATGTCTGCTTTGACACAACAAATCTGAGTTTTCCCGTAGGTAGTTATTGAATCATCTTGAACTCATAACTGTAGACTTCTTCATTAAACTTTATTTTGTCATTATGTCATTTTTAGCTGTTGTCCCCGGCCACGATATCATATTTAGCTTTATTTTAGACCCTGTTGTTTTGATTCACTTTATTGCTAACAGTAATAGAGTTAAGGTAAAGTCTCTTGACATCCAATTCGACATGCTAACCCATTAGATAAGACAACTACTGCTTTCTCTATCAATATTTTCCCATCAATAAAACAAATATCCTATCTGGTCAAGCTAGTGGAACTAAGGAAACATGGAACCTTAAATATCCAATTAACCTCAGACTAACCTGGACACTGTTGCAACATTTCTGAGAAAATGTTTTCGCTTTAATTGGATAAAGTAGAAATTATTTGAACAAAAGCAATGTGTGATCTTGTTACAGGAGCTTTCATTTTAAGAAAAGTGTTACAATATAAAATGTAAATTGCCATTTCTAAGAAGTTACATTCTGTCACCATATAGAAAAAAAAAAAAAAAGGAAGTCTCTTAGAAATGTCTATACCCATCTCTCTTATACAGGATTATCAAAGCAATTTAGTCATTTACTGAGACATAAACACAGTTGTAAGAAGGAAAAATCAAAGCAATATTGTTATGTTTGTCTCACTGTCTCGTTACTCTTGTGAAATCCAAGTTTCTACACAGATGATTTTCACAGAACAACAATTTACGATAATAGTTTGACAGCCTGAAAATAAAATAGCAAAATGCACGATCTCTGTAGAAGATGAGTGTTCTCTTTATTAAAGGACCACTCTAGGCACCCAGACCACTTCAGCTTAATGAAGTGGTCTGGGTGCCAGGTCCAGCTAGGGTTAACCCATGTTTTCATAAACATAGCAGTTTCAGAGAAACTGCTATGTTTATGAATGGGTTAAGCCTTCCCCCTAATCCTCTAGTGGCTGTTTCATTGACAGCCACTAGAGGCGCTTGCGTGCTTCTCACTGTGATTTTCACAGTGAGAGCACGCAAGCGTCCATAGGAAAGCATTATGAATGCTTTCCTATGTGACCGGCTGAATGCGCGCGCAGCTCTTGCCGCGCGTGCGCATTCAGCCCAGGAGGAGGAGAAGAGGAGGATCGGAGGAGGAAAGCTCCCCGCCCAGCGCTGGAAAAAGGTAAGTTTAAACCCCTTTCCCCTTTCCAGAGCCGGGCGGGAGGGGGTCCCTGAGGGTAGGGGCACCCTCAGGGCACTATAGTGCCAGGAAAACGAGTATGATATAGCTCCTCAAAGTGTGAGTGTGAATATAACACCTTTGTTCTTGTGGAACTATATCGTTCATACATACTGTACCATTATTTGTATTTTTGTTTCTCTTTTTTTTAAGTTACTCTGCTGGCCAGTATTTCTACAAAACGTATGTACATTTTCTGATTTTTAGCGCTGTTCACCTTTCTATTTTATCTGTCTATTTAAAACAAAGTTTAAGTAGTCATAGGGAGGACTGTCCATAGTGACAACCGATGCCTAGAACAGAAAAACAGGGAGCATATGAAGGGAGCCTTTGCAGATGCAGAGAAATTTAATGTTAATAGTAATTATGGTTGGTAAAACGGTGAGCACATCTGCAATAGTGGATGCCAGTATCACCTTCACTTACTACTTAGTGCTGTCCAGGATGGGGAATTGTCGACCAGATTAGACACTTACTCTGACCATCATGGTGACTCCAGTAGCATGGTCATCAGTGTAAGGTCAACTTTCTACTCTAATATGGCAAATTTCCAAAGCTGGCTGGTAACACGTTGCTTCCAGATCAGGTCTGAGTTGGGTCTCCTGGTTCTACGCAATCTGTCTGCTAACTTCAAACTCCTCATTGTATGCAGGCTGGTCTTGGAGTGGATGGGAAACTGCCAATCCTCTGAATAAAAAAATGTGTAATAACATATATAATTATTGTCACTGGTCATAGAAGCTCACGTGGATGGTTTCCCTCTAAGTCACATTTACAGCTCTTAAGGGCCAGCAACATATGTCTGCGTGTTTGCCAGCCCACTATTGGACTTTATCCTCACAAATTAATATTTAATTAAAAGTGGACAATGCATCGTGTTTCACTCTAGCCATTTGAATACCTTTCATGTAGTCATTTCACAGGACGCTCTGCACTAACTTGTGCAACATTGTTTTCCTCTGCTATATCTGTCACACACACAATGCACTTTGTGACTTTAGACGTGTGTGCTGAGAGTTGTATTATGCAGTAAATGGAAAGGCTTTTTCCTAGCAGCCCTGTTGCTTTGAAACATTAGTAAATAAAATCAACTTTTTGTCAAAAACATTTTTATTATTTGTGTACACATTTTATTATGATGTGTATTTTGATGCATAGAGTTTGACAGTCAAAACCCCACTTATCTGAAATATTTTAAATCAGATTGAAGATGTCTCTTTTTATATAGCATGCAATTAACAGACCGCCATCTGCCATACACTCAATGTCTATATTTAACTATTTATAGTACAATTTCTTTTGTCATTTTAATTCTTCTCTCCATTTTTTCCCCCAGTCATTTTTAGAATTTTTAGAAATTGTGCTGTTGTTTCAGTACTGACACAGGTGCTCACCTGACTCACAAACTCTACAGTAATATACCCTCAATCCCTAGGGTAGCGTTTTTGTTCAGTAGTGGCAAGCGCCTGCTGCACTGTACGGAATTTCATCTTTACTTGCATGCCACAAGCACACTCATTCAATTCCGGAAACAATATATCTTCTAAAATTACGTTTAGAGACTCGCTTTTAAAATTTAAGGAATTAATTTTTCACAGACAGACAAAATAAACATATTTAACACCATAGGAATTTATAATTTAATTAAATAATAAACTATTTGCAGACTTCAAATAAAGATTGATAAATAGTGAGCACATAGTTCTATTTTAAAACATTACATGTATTTGCAGTTTTTAAAATTAAGAAATTCATGTAAGCTTTGTTTTTACATAGTCAACTATTCATGTCAGACCCAGGGTCGAAAGGGCTTCAGGACAATAATTTATACTACTGCATGGGTGAAGCGAGGGGAACATTCCAACACAATTCATATTTAAATTAGTATGTGGGACTATTTATTGGAGTCAGAGTATTGCATTGTGAGAACAGAGACGAGGAAGAATAGGAGTTGGTAGTGATGGCAGCAGTAAAGAGAAGTAGTGGGAGTTGGTATATAGTGAGTGAAGTAAATGATGGTATGAGTTAGGAGCAAGTCACACTGTGAGTAGGAGCCAGTTACTGGTAGGATTTGGTAATGTCAGTATGTGTGTTAGAAGTAGGACTGTGAAGTGACAGCAGAAGCTATGGTGAGTAGTGTAACAGTTGGGAGTACGAATCACAAAGGATTGGGTAGTGAAAAGTCATTACACGACAGAATTTTGGGACACAGCTACTCCTCGCCACTGCTCCGCAGTATGTGAGTTCACATTGCACAAAACGCACTCTGTTTTGCACAGCCCTGAGTAGAGTTCAGTAAGCAAAACATTCCGCATCGTTAATCACCTATAACTGGACTGCTGAAACCTTTATTTCCAATGACCTATTGCATAGCAGATCCACTTGTGGTTTACTAAATAGGATTACATTTACCAAACAGCGCAAGTCTGATAAATACACTCCAGAAAACTAAAGAATTGCCAGTCTCCGTTTTCTTATTACTTGCTGATTTGGAATATTTTGGAGATATCACCACCCAGGTTGACAACGTGACATATATAATTCTTATATTCTCCAACATTTGTGTGAGTGAAAATGGCACAATGCTAAGTATTACTCATACTTTAGGAAGATAGGTTTAAAGATATTGAAATGCTCATTTTAGCAGTATGTGTGTGAAAGCTACTCTTAGTTTGTCAGGTAATCCTCTTAGTGTGTAAATCAAAGTGGGGCTTAATATTTAATTACACTGCGGGTGTTTTTGGAAGAGGTTCACAAATCAATGTGCTGTCGGGATGCCATCCAACTTGTGAAATATCAAGAAATGTGCTATGTTTAGAGACATTTTCAACATCTCTAGTCGCTGCAACCGCCACTTCTCTAATGATTAGTTAACAAAATTAAAAATTCAAAAGTCCTCATTTTTTAATGGCTCCAAACTCCTTATTTTTCATTCAAGGGACATCTAGCGGTTTCTAGGATGGGAGAATAGTCTGTGTTGTTCTAATCCCCTTGGCACATTTTATCTGGGCCCTCCAGGTTCTGTAATTTTCTAGTTAACTGGTGCATAAAAAATATGGGTCAAAATACTGACATTTTCTTTAAAAAAATTGCATTCGGTATAAAATGAAAATGGTTTTACATTGTGAATTCTAGATTACGAAACCATAAATTTCAGTGCAGCGTCATTTCTATTAAATCATAGCAAATTCACTTTAAAAGCAGTTCCTAGAACATAGTTAATGCACATTTTATATAAAGCTACAGTTCATATATAAAGGCGTGCAAGCTTACACTGTTACTGTACTGAATGTGTTGTTTATTAAAATACATACACCATACGTTCAACAATGTTTTATATCCATTGCATGATCAACATGTTTCTTTGTGAGAGATCAGATTCTCTACAGCTGGTTATGATTATAAGTGAATGATGTTTTAAACATTTTTTGTGAATTAGTTTTTCAGTCCCTCACTCCAGTACAAATTGAGGTGACAACTGCAGCATGCTACCTGACCATCGTTTGTCCTCTCAGTGATGCATCACATGTGACGCTGTGCGCCATTCTGGAGTCATTTTTGACCTGGACTGCTCAATTTCAGCCTATTTTTATGCGGAAAATGATTCAAGACTCTCACCGTTCCTGTGACAGCAGTATTGTACATGTTGGTGTCATCCTAGTGACGCTGATGTACCGGATTGATGCATTCCTTATTTAAACCCACAGAATTTTAAAGGGAGAGAGGGATCTTTGCATATCTCTACCTCATGCTATTATTTTCTATTGATCCTCAT